CAAATTAACAATATTAGCTATAGGACAGTCTTGTCTACTAGTGAGTCATCAGTATATTGGTGCGTAATAAATATACCAAATTAACAATATTAGTTATAGGACAGTCTTGTCTACTAGTAGAGTCATCAGTATATTGGTGCGTAATAAATATACCAAATTAACAATATTAGCTATATGACAGTCTTGTCTACTAGTAGAGTCATCAGTATATTGGTGCGTAATAAATATACCAAATTAACAATATTAGCTATAGGACAGTCTTGTCTACTAGTAGAGTCATCAGTCTATTGGTGTGTAATAAATATACCAAATAAACAATATTAGCTATAGGACAGTCTTGTCTACTAGTAGAGTCATCAGTTTATCGGTGTGTTATAAATATACCAAATAAACAAATATAAATTTGATTGGTACCGTTGTTGATAGAATACAAATACAAGAAACAGATCACTTTAACTGTCAACCAATTTCCTAAATGAAGTTCACAGGGAATACGTTATTCGAGGAATTCTACTTTCGCTTTCCATATTAGGCAATCATCAGTGCGCGCTATTATTGCGTGACGGCTCGTTGACGAAAGAATTAATATCAACTTTACTTTACTTTCAATTAAGGCCAGAGGCGTAGCCTAACGGGTATGTTGGGTGGGGGCACACAACCTGTCAACTTGTTGCTTGGTACAACTGACACATTTTACCCACAATCTATTTAAATGTAGACGAACAGTTTACCTAAAACATCATAACTGACACAAGGTTTTCACGCCTTCGGTTTTATCGACGGCTCAAGACATTACCGTCTTTATTATTGTGTCGGTTCGGGTTATTATCTTATAGGTAAACTGTTCGTTTACATTCGTTCGTTTACGGTAAAACTGTTTCATTTGTAACAAGCAGTAAGTCGACAAGCTGTGTGCAACATGTCCTAATGACTTGAAAGATCTTGATTTTATTGAACTTGTCGTTAAAACGCGGAATCGGTCTCCTAAAAATGTTCTAGATAACACAAAACTTACCAAATAATCTACCACTAATCTCGGAGAGAAGAATACTCGAACAGACTGTCGGTGAGCTACGCGCTGTAGAGAGGGAAGTTATTATTTAACTAGACGCTTTGTACTATACGTGGAAAACATTGAGAAAATTCCAAGAAAAAGCTCTACTTTCATTTTAAACTACAACAGCTGCTATATACACGATAAAGTGGCATGTTTGAAGGTCCGTTGTTAGACAAATGGGTCACTGAGATGACTCAGGTAGTTGATACATGTTTTGATTGATGGTGCAGGTCTCCACTGTGTCATTACGGCTGTATTTATTCTGTATTTATTGAATATTTCCAAGTCACTAGTTCTGTGAATAATTATATAAAGAAACTAGACAATTAGAAATAATCTATAATAGTATATAGTAATTATTGATATCTATCGACACAGGTGGTCCGTTTCATTGTTATTCTGATTTGTTAGTGTACACATGTGTCGTGTTTTCTGCACATTAAATAACAGGACACAATGTTATGAGAATTATACTACCCCTGCGTTCTTTTGTATACTACTTTTACAATTTGCATGTACAGGTCGGGAAATAGGGGGTTGGAAAGCTTTGGCCTATATCTCAATTTCATATGTTCTCGTCCTGTTCCGTCCTTTTCCCGCGGCATAACAGACCGGAGTTTATGGACAGATATTTCCAACCCATCGCTCCCTATAGCTGAGAGCAGTCTATTGTAGAATTGTTATTTCCTTGAATTCTTACTTCGATCGAAACACAATATTAGGTTGAAGACACCAACTGGTGACGGCGCCAGTGGGGGTACAGGACAAATCCCAAATTGTACCCTCACAT